GAGATAGTGTTCAAAATTTGTCATGATAGAAATAACCCTCAAAATCAGAGCCGCCATTTTAACTTGATTTCTCAGAAAAACCTGTCTTTTCACAGCTGAATTATGAAACTTTGCAAGTATTGTAACAACCTCATTTAAATTTCCTGGTTAGAAATATTATCATATATCTAATTTCTGAAAACTTTTTTGAAATTGTCTAAGGAACAAAAACGGAGATAGTGTTATCCTGAAGCCAGAATAATTACCGATATGTAAACACAGCCACGATGTGCAATCTTTCGATGTTTGGGGTTTTCTAAACTTAATCATTCAAGTTTACATTCAATGCAGCACTCCCAAACCGCATGGAAACCTCAGCTACATTTTGTAGCTACGCACAGTTTTAATGTTACGTTGATTTGCGATGTTTTCTCATGGCATAATTATGATTTGAGTTGAATGCAGCGAACCGCATATCCAATATGGCGCAGGTGAAGCGTAACTCTCGATACCAGTGACCAATGGTAAGGCAGAGAGCAAGTTGCCAATCTCTGTATTATACGTCTCTGCTGGTACTCTGAACATTTTCGTTTTCACCGGATGCACTGAACGAAAGATAATAGATCTTAACCTATCCTATATCATGGACCCATAAATACACTGTACTCCAGAATTAATTTTGAACCTGTTTTTTGAGTAAATTCAAACTCGTGGTCGACTGAACGTCCCGATTGCTGGCTCTCATCTCCTTGCAATCACTGTTCTTTAATAAAGATGCTTTTCTGGAGTTTTAGCATTTTATAACACTCTAGTCTATTATCATTTGCTTCAGTGCATCTGTTGATCACTAAAATGTTTTCAAGTAGAAAAAAAAGAACATGTTCTGAGAACTCGCCTTCTGCTTGTTTTGGCAGCTGCCATCTTTTAAACAGTCCCAACTTTTTCAACGTACAGGCTACACTACAGAGCACTCCGAGGTTAAGAAATTTGTTATCATCTGCAAGCTGTAATTAAAACGAATTAGTTGAAATAATTCAAACTTGAATATGTTTGCTGATAACATAACATATTAATAGTTTTTAAAGACTTGTTTAACGCATACCCCTATTACACATTTTTTTACCTGCTGGTATTCCGTAGATTCTATCAACTCTGCATTGATTATATAATCTTGTAGCTGGCAGGAAACATTTTCTTCCACCAGAACCCCTTTCGCATTTCCGGTTCAACCAGTTGAAACGGTTGAACAACAGAACGGTTGAACAACAGGTGCAGATCTGACCTCCGGCATATTCGGCATATCTTAGCTCACCTGCTCAAAGGGCAAGTGAGCTTATGTCATGGTGCAGTGTCCGTCGTACGGTGTTGTCCGGCAACTTTTCCTTTAAGCAACATCTTCTGAAGAACGAACAGGCCTAGAGTCGTGATATTTGGCTGAAAGCTTTATTGTTAGGAGCCTAACAAAGTTTGAGAATGAAAATGACCTTGACCTAAGTATACTTTCAAGGTCACAGCGGTCAAAGATGTCAAATGACTTCTGCTGAAGAACTGAAAGGTATAGAATCTTCATATTTGGCTGGTGGCTTCCTTGGATTGAGCCTGACAAAGTTTGAGAATGAAATGACCTTGACCTACATTCAAGGTCACATGAGTCAAATGTGTCAAACACTTTAAATGACTTCTTCTGAAGAACTGAAAGTTATAGAGTCTTAATATTTGGGTGGTAGCTTTTTCTGGGGGAGCCGAACAAAGTTTGAGAACGAAAATGACCTTGACCTGCTTTCAAGGTCTCATGGGTCAAATGTGCCCAACACTTCAAACGACTTCTTTTGAAGAAATAAAAGGTAGAGAATCTTAAAATTTGGCTGGTATCTTCTTTGGATTGAGGTTGACAAAGTATATGAATGAAAGTGACCTCAACCTACTTTAAATGTCACAGAACTCGAGGTCAACAGCACTTCAAATGACTTGTTCTGAAGAACTAAAACGCATGGAATCAAAAGATTCGGCTGGTAGCTGCTTGGGAAAGAGCCAACAAAAAAAATTTGAGAAAGTTTGACGTCACAATGGCTCAACAATGACGTGACATCACAAATTTGGAAGACACTGATGCCACAATGCGGAAAAGGCAACATGATGAAATTAAAACTTTTTACGAAATATTTACCGTACACGTTTGAAAGATGAGATTATTTTTTTCTGCGCAAACTCTGTTTGCAAATATGGAGTATCCTAAATCTCGCTGACAAATTTGTTTTCATCAAAAAAGCTCAAGAAAAAATTGCTATTTTCAAAATGGTAGCCAGTCCAAATGCATTTCCATGGGTTCTGGGCTTATTCTGGTAGTTGGAATGAGAAAAAAATACTCTTTCCTGCCCAAGGGTGTAGGATAGGGAAATTCTACCCTCAGGATTTTCGAATTTGGCGAAACCCTTGGCAGAACTTCAGGTTTTACCAGATTTTAAAACCTCTCGGGTGGAATTTCCCTATCCTACACCCATGGACATAAAAGAGTCTTATAATATTTAATGAGTATAATTTGCTATGACTGCTTAAATATCTAGGTGAGCGATACGGGCCCTTTGGGCTTCTTGTTTTATAAAGGTATTACATCTTATGTGTAAGTAAACTAGGAAGCCTATGTTTCCTTTTATGGTTGGCATATAAATGTATGAAATATGTAGTTATAACAGAAAACGATACTTCCTTTTGTGAATTGCTGACTTACCCTGGACTAGACTCACTGCAATTGACTGGAATCAAATTATACTAAAACTTCTTCTTTTTTCAGAAAAAAACAACAGAACCACATTAGTGGGCCAAGCAAGTCCATTAACAGCAGCTCAGTAACTATGACAACCTGCATAGACATTAACAACAGTGGAACGGAGAATCAGCCATTACATGAAAACCAAGAGCAGACAACTCAGGATGTTCAAGAGGCCCCTGTTGACACTGATGTTGAACATGTTGCCATGTCACTGTTAGAACACCATGAGAACGAGAGCAAAGGGCCATCAAATATGAAGTCTTTCAATATAGAGCCAGCTTATCAAAATACCATAGAGAACCCCTACAAGGAGACAACAGTGACCTTGCCCCATCTTGTGAAGAAGATGCCAGAAGAACAACTGTTACCCCGTCCCTGGCGCACTTTCAACCAGGTGGTGTGCTTGTCATATATCAGTATTTTATTCTGCATGTGTATAGGGGTGTTTGCAAACCGTTATGCCTGGCGCGCCAAGCTCCAAAATGGCAAGGGCCTATATGGTCTTGCCCAGAAATGGTCACGCCGTGCAGTTTATGCTAGCTATACTGCCTTTGTGGTAGGACTTATAATTATCATCATAGTCCCCTTGACAGCAACTAATACTATATAAATCATAAAAGAGCAAGGGCTTGAAATAGAAATGCAACAACAGCAAGATTTTTGTGGGAAATTGAGCTAGGTTAACCACAAACCTGTTTTTATTCACCAGCCCCTATATTAAAGCTTGGTCAGCATAAAGGTAACCAATATGTTACACATGTGATATAACTTGGTATACAACCAATTTTAACTGCCCCTCTTGTATGATCTGTCATCAGTTTTCTGCTTATCATTGCCTTCATTTTTCTGCCACCTAATGTTCTCCATTTTTCAAATATCATTCATATGTTTACTTCCTTTGAAATTTAAAAGATCAAAGGTCAAGAACATAAACTATAAATAGAATATTCCATTCAGCTAGGAGCTAATGTAGTCCATAGGTCTGGATGTGGAAATATGTTTTTTTTTGTATCAGCTTGATTTGATTGCTTTAATTTATTTTAATAATAATCAACTTTGCAATATTTTTCTGGATTTTGTATGATTGCTGGTCAGATATTGAGATTGTATACAAATCCAGAAGGTGCTGAAGTTTTAACATGATTTGAAACTTTGTTGTAGTATATACCAGGTAGGTCAATACACTTTGTTGTAGTATTTTAATTTACCAGGTACGTCAATAAACTTTGTTGTAGTATTTACCAGGTACGTCAATACACTTTAATGTAGTATTTACCAGGTACGTCAATAAACTGTTTTGTAGTATATACGAGGTATGTCCATCTATTTTAAAACTTATGCATATAATTGTTTGAACTTTCAAAGATCTGTTCACCAAGTATTGGTGCATTTATGTTAATACATTTCTTCATTGCTTTACATAATTTACCTGTACTCTCACTGGTGGTGAGATGTTATGTACTATGTTTACATACTGTTCAAATTCAGATGGACCTGGTCATTACCAGGCATACATGTTGTTGTAGATACTGTTTATATTGAGCTTCTTGATTCCAGAAACTTTAAATTGTTGATAGTTGATTTGAAAGGTTTTATAATATACAAATGCAGAACATTTAGAGGAAGAATACAACATACATTTAAACAATAACTGGTTGTCTGGATGTATATTTTTTATTATTGTTGATATAATTACAAGTGGCCTCTGGCAAATCCCATAAAACCTGCTATATCAACAATAATTACATCCAGACAACCAGGTATTTTTTATATTTACATATTTTCTTTTTTAAGACATATTCCTACAAAAACCATTTGCCTTGCCTCAAAATACATTTCAGGTGGCCGTTTTGTTTGTTTACATATTCCTACACCTGAAACAGGCAGTTGTAATTATAGTCGAGCAGTTGTTATTATAGCCTATATAATTACACTTGCCCTCTAACACTGTTGTAATGGGACGGCGCGGGGGCAAATGTAAATATTTTTGAATGTTTGAGCATGTACACATTGAATATAGTGTTTAGAAGTATGATTGTAGTCATGCAAGTCTCATTGGGGAAGTTAAAAAACTTAAAGATGTGTTAGATTGTTCATTTTCACAATAATCTCTGATTTATTCTACAAATTTTTCTTCAGAAAATCTTCACTCCACTGCACATAAGTTTAAAATGAAGACCAAGATTTCTAAGTTTGCTATGATATTTTTGCTAAAAGTACTGGAATGTTAAAGATAGTTGTGTTCAGGCAGTGGTTATTGATGGAGTTCATGCCATTAACCTTTAGTTCACTCATACATACAGTAGAATATATTTCTATATTAATGTCATTCTATTCTCATAAACGATGTAAGTAAATACATAGTTCTATTAAGAAACATATGAACACTGTGTCAGATAAACTAGCTGTTGTATACCTGTTATCTACTTTGTGTAATCTCTGTGTTTTGGGGTACTTGAGGAGGCTTTAGTAGTACAAGGGGCAGTGGCAAATGTTTAAACACCAGCCATAGTAGACTAGGGGCAGTGGCAAATGTTTAAACACCAGCTGTAGTAGAATAGGGGCAGTGGCAAATGTTTAAACACCAGCTGTAGTAGAATAGGGGCAGTGGCAAATGTTTAAACACCAGCCGTAGTAGAATAGGGGCAGTGGCAAATAGTTAAACACCAGCTGTAGTAGAATAGGGTCCGTGAAAAATGTTTAAACACCAGCTGTAGTAGAATAGGGTCCGTGAAAAATGTTTAAACACCAGCTGTAGTAGAATAGGGGCCGTGATAAATGTTTAAACACCATTTGTAGTAGTTCAGGGGCCTTGGCAAATGTTAAACCACCAGCTGTAGTAGTTCAGGGGCCGTGACAAATGTTTAAACACCAGCTGTAGTAGTTAAGGGGCAATGACAAATGTTTAAACACCAGTTGTAGTAGTTAAGGGGCCATGACAGATGTTTACATCCCAGCTGTAGGAAGCTTCATTAGGGACCACCGGACAGATAAAGCTATAATCTAAATATTTATTGAATTTTTGAACTCAAACAGTTCTGTTATAATTCAGAATATTTGTCATCAAGACGGTATACTTCTTGAAAAAATGAAAGAATTGAATATTGTAGATGGAAACAAACTGTAGTTGAAAGATTTGACACAAGCCAAACAGTAATTTTATAACGTATCTACACTTCTTGTCCTCTATACACTGTATTAAGTGGGAAAATGCAATTTTATAACATGATCATGTGTTCATATATTTTTCTGATTAAAACATGTTTACTCTTCTTTATTGTGCTATTTTAAAAATATGTAAATATCTTGTAATAAATATAGTACATGTATTTTATACACTTTTTGTATTCTACATTTTTATTTCATTTTTACATTTATTTTTAATGATTAGATGTTTTGCACTGGTTTGTTTTCATTTAGTTGGATAGACATTTTTTGCAATATTTTTCATAACGTGATCATATAATTACCCAGGCTTAAAGGCCCTATTTGTTTTAGTTTCCAGGCTGAAAGACATGTTTACCAGTCCATGGGCTGAAATGCCTTGCATGTTTACCAGTACATGGGCTGAAAGGCCTTGCATGTTTACCAGTACATGGGCTGAAAGGCCTTACATGTTTACCAGTACATGGGCTGAAAGGCATTAATTCTACTAGTTCATGTAAAGGGCATTACTCCATCAGTTATAATCACGAAGAGTTCTACTAAGAATTGTTTTGACTAATTCTCTCTTCTATAAAACATGAAGCAACCAAAAGACATTGTTTTTTTGGGGCTTACACTAGCTTCCCTGGGAAGTTATCTTTCAGTGTTCATTGTAAGACAGTGTTTTGGGGCTTACACTAGCTTCCCTGAGAAGCTATCTTTCAGTGTTCATTGTAAGACATTGTTTTTTGGGCTTACACTAGCTTCCCTGTGAAGTTATCTTTCAGTGTTCATTGTAAGACAGTGTTTTGGGGCTTACACTAGCTTACCTGAGAAGCTATCTTTCAGTGTTCATTGTAAGACATTGTTTTTTGGGCTTACAGTAGCTGCCCTGGGAAGTTATCTTTCAGTGTTCATTGTAAGACATTGTTTTTTGGGGCTTACACTAGCTTCCCTAGGAAGTTATCTTCAGTGTTACTTGTAAGACATTGTTTTTTGGGGCTTACAGTAGCTTCCCTGGGAAGTTATCTTTCAGTGTTCGTTGTAAGACATTGTTTTTTGGGCTTACACTAGCTTTCCTGGGAAGTTATCTTTCAGTGTTCATTGTAAGCTATTGTTTTTTGGGCTTACACTAGCTTCCCTGTGAAGTTATCTTTCAGTGTTCATTGTAAGACATTGTTTTTTGGGGCTTACACTAGCTTCCCTAGGAAGTTATCTTTCAGTGTTACTTGTAAGACATTGTTTTTGGGGTTTACAGTAGCTTCCCTGTGAAGCTATCTTTCAGTGTTCATTGTAAGACATTGTTTTATGGGGCTTACAGTAGCTTCCCTGTGAAGTTATCTTTCAGTGTTCATTGTAAGACAGTGTTTTTGGGGCTTACACTAGCTTCCCTGAGAAGTTATCTTTCAGTGTTCATTGTAAGACATTGTTTTTTGGGCTTACAGTAGCTTCCCAGGGAAGTTATCTTTTTTATCATTTTTTATTTTCAAACATTCAAATTTTGAACAACAATAATTCTGCAAAATGCACAGCAATGTGTGATTTTTATGTAATACTTCTCTTGAAAAGGACATTAGTGTGGTAATGCTATAGTTTAACATGTTATTACCCGTAACCTGTACTGCTGGTGACATGCCTTACTTAAGTTAGTGCCTTGACTGAGAGACAGCACTTGTACCTTGTCTGAGAGACAGCACTTGTACCTTGTCTGAGAGACAGCACTTGTACCTTGTCTGAAAGGCCTTAACACTTTTTCCAGTACATTTAACTGATCATTGTTGTCCAGTGTGGCCTTGACATGTAACTGATCATTGTTGTCCAGTGTGATCTAGACATGTAACTGATCATTGTTGTCCAGTGTGATCTAGACATGTAACTGATCATTGTTGTCTAGTGTGACCTTGACATGTAACTGATCATTGTTGTCCAGTGTGATCTTGACATGTAACTGATCATTGTTGTCCAGTGTGGCCTCGTTAGGACTGAATGCTAATGGTCCCCAGTTTCTTAAAGCAGTAGCATTTTCATCTTTATGCTTTAAAAATGTTATAGATAGAAAACTTGAATGGTTTTCTTGTTTAACACTACTTACATCTAACTCAAATGGCTACTATTTTTTACTTGTATAATACAATGTATACACGCTAAATACCCTCTTAATGAAGAGCAATCTATACAGGTCTCATGGTCGTTATTAGTATGTAAATTACAAAGATGTTTTAAATGTATATTTTAGAAATCCTAAATGTTCATATTCTATGGTATAGTTTTTAGTGTAGGTTATGTTATATTATTTTTTAATTCTTTGTTTTAATGGGTAATATTCCCTTTGTGTTAATAGGTAATGTTCCGGTGGACTGTTTTAATGGGTATCATTCTCTTTGACAGAACTAAAGCATACTGTTATTTACATTCAACTTGCATAACCACATGTAATAAGCCACATACACTTTTTGTATGTAATCTTTAGGAGGTGTAAAAGTGATACAATATTCCGACCCAAAGTCTGTAAGAAAGCATGTGAAACATGGTAGACTGGACAGTGGATGTTATATGGTTGCCTATAAGGGAAATGATTTAGAGAAGTGGTGTTTTAAGTAGTTTTTATTGTACATATAATCCTGGTGCAGATAGCATCGGTTATATTTTGTATCCAATATCATATAGTTCATCTAGCCACATCATCTCAAGCTAATTATTGCCTAAATAGCAACTTAACATATTTTACTTAACAAAATGAAAAGAATTGGACAAAAGTCATACGCTTGTGACAAGATGATTAACCTTTTATTAATCAATTTGCAAAATAATATACATTTTGAAGATTAACTTTTATGTGATTCTCATAATTCAGATTATGCAAATACCCCTTTTTTTAAGACATTAATTAATAATTTTGGACAATTAAGTAGTTGTTCTCTCTCGTGTTTATTTTAGTTTGCAAGAACTTGTAAAGTATTGCTTTAATTTCTCTTCTTTAATTTCTTAAATTTATTTTTCAGTAACAATTTTCTGCTTGCAGCTTTTTTGTTGTGCTGCCTGTTTACGGAGTGTTTTCTGTAACTGAAGGTTATCGTGTACAGCGGTGTCATGTGAAGTGAGATCTGCCGGCAGTTAATTATACATAGAGGTACAATAATACCATGTACAATTCTTCCTCCACAGAGAGCTACAAATAGAGAACATTTTGATCTCTGTAATAACTGCTAGTTTTGTGATTGACATGTTTCCTTAAAAAGCAAATGAGTGAATATATTTGTCATCCCTGAGAATTAACTTATAGCTCATTATATACAACAAACATAGGTCTACCAAGACACATCCTGTGGATTAGTTTGTGTAAATCCTAAAATATTGAACCAGGAAGAAAAAGGAATCTCTAGTGAGTAAAATGTGCTCAATACCTTCTGGAAATTATTGTATTTGTATGTTATACAGTCAGTGTATAAGTAAAATGTTTGAGAATAAAAATATTGTAAAGCTGCTTTCACCTTGTCAAAATTGTCTGTACATATTGTGTATTATATCATAGGACTTTTGTTTTTTTAGCTACCTGGCCC